GGCAGAAAGAAAGAACAGAAATTGGAGCAGTTACGGTCAGTAGCTCAATCGGAATAGTTTTTTCCTCGAAAAACAAAGGTAGTATTCCTTCAACGGTAGTATTGCCGTGGAACAAGGTGTACTGACTCTGGAATAGGTGGAATAGGGGTGTGGGCCTCCTTTCCACAAGTCATTAAACTGGCTACAAGTAAACCTTTGGAACATTGAATACTAAAGGTGGGAGCCGAAGGAAATGAGGACAGGCAAAGCGGTAAGACCGGTCAAGTGGTTATATAACCATATACTTGCCTACTCCTGTTTCACTACACCTTTATTTTCCATACCATCTGCATGGACGAGTTAACACGGTAGTAGAGAGTTCACGGTGAAGTGGAGAAGGGAGGAGTTTCAGTAGCGAAACCGAGATTATGCAGTTGATTCCGACTTGGAATATCGACCAACAGCTCACCCACCTCGGTCAGATTCATCGTTCTTCTTGTGAGCTATCCAGATTCAGCTACAAATGAGGGTCTCTAGTGAATTTACTTACTCACTAATGGCATACCTTTGACCTTCTGCTATCATTTTTGTCCTTTACGGGGAATATCGTACGTACTGCCTTCAAACTGTTCAAGTTTTTCCAATTACTAAGTTTTGAAACTCACTTGTTTCTCTTCCAGCGACCGTATTATGAATGGCAGGTGGTGAGTTGATTTGAGTGTTCCTTGTAGAGGAATCCAATCAATTTTGCTCACAAATAGTAGATATCAGTTAATGGACCTTATGTCTCAGAGTGCTCAGAATAGACTGCGGTTTTCTAACGAATTTGTGCTCCCTAGGCTCGGCATTAATTCAATAGCTTGATTTTTGGCAAGTTTCCAATAGAATTTTGCTGGCCCTTTGGGGTACATTGACTTGATCAGACGTTAGATGTTTGGGTACACTTCTGGTAGTGTAGCATACCGCAAAGTAAAAGTCTACAGCGCTTGGGTGCTGGCCTGATCCTATGAGACCCTTTTATTGGCTTATGAAAAATCCTTCCTCCAACCACCGGCGAAAATCAGGGGAATGGGAAGCTTTTGGAGTTTACCTCCGTGATCTGCCTGCTTACTCTACTGAACTGTGATTATCTGCCGCCTCCTCAACCCGATAAGCTTCGAGAAGGCTTACGCAAACCTCAGGATCGGGAAGCTTTCTAGTAAGCTCACTTCGGATCCTCTCACTAAATCTGTTCTAAAAAAGGTCTTCTGTCAGTTACGATATGCAAATGTCACCATTGATGTAATCTTCTATCGCTCATCGGCTTTTATCGTATTATTGTGAGTCACTTAGCACTAGATAGTCCCCCTTGGCAGCTCCACACCTTCAAACAGTGTCCAACATATCGTATTTTCTCTCATAGACTCGGGGCTCCAAAAGTTGTGTTATCCGTTTGCATTGAGTGAATTCACTTACTAAGGAGGGGACTTTTTCATGGGTAAAAAAAGGTTTATATTCTTGATTTCAGGCAAAAACTACATACAGATGAAGAGTTGGCATGGGTCGATCATGGCAAGACGTTGAGGGAGCAGGGCATCGGCGAAGACGAAACACTACTGCTGCGACGAAAATATTTCTTCAGGTAATGGCTTCATCACGTAGCAAACGCTCGCCTATAGTGTGGCCTTCTGAGGAATCAAGACCAAGTCTCTTATGAGCTAGTTGTAAACAACGATCTTTTTCCTGTAGCAAGTGAACTTTAGAAGATGGGCTAAAAAACTGAAACTTAGAACTCGACTTTGGCTCAAGTTCGTCATGAGCAACTCTCATCTGTTCATACAAAAACTCTATCACCTTTGGAAGGGGTTGGCCCATCCCCGAGCTGAATCGCTTCGTGGATGTGACTGAAACTTTACTTGACTACTTAGTTAGTCGGCGAGCAGAGACAGAGTTGTATGGATGCTCCTTGTTCCCCCAGTAGTTCTTCGTTATTCTTTATTTGTACATCGCTGTCATTCTTATCCACTTTTGTCGCACCACCAACCTAGCCTGCCCACTCCTCCTTTCCTTTCATATACCTTATTTGGTCCTGCCTCTGCTGGCTCAAAGGCTTGAAATACTTTCAAATGTTGCTCAGCGTAAGATTGATATCGTTTTGCCTTTTGCAGTGATACGAACGTGGACAGCCGTGATCCGGTGCAGTTGAATCTTCTGTACGTGCAGTGTCGTGATGGCGTACTTCGAGTAAGTAAATTTTAATCTGATCTGCAAAACTAGGCTAGATTCGGAAAAAAATGATAGAAATCTTGAAGGACTCAATTGTAAAAGCTCCATAACCCAGGAATACATATCGATTTTTTACCAAACCGAATAAAACAATTTGAAAGAAATTTACAGCAAAGGTGTTTTGGATTGTGAAAGGTTTGGTTTGTTAAAAAATCTGCCTTTGTGCATTTATGTATATTGAAATCATGAAAGGCTTAGCAGTCGTGGAAGCAACCTTGATGGAATCCAGAACACCTGGAAAATGTTCCCCATACAGTACAATAAAAATTCTGTCAGTGTTACCAGGAAATCCGCTCGGGCTCCTGAATATCTCAACTTCTGAAGTGGCTAGACTGAAAAGAGTGGGTGGATTATAGCTCAAATTCCTAATATACATTGAAGGCCAAGGGCGCATACCAAGTAAAAGTAGAGAATCCGAGAGCAGTCAGAAATTCAGTGCTGTAACATAAAGCCTGAACATTGAAACGAGATGTAGGTTGCCAGTCTATCTTTGGACAAGGAAAGCTTCAACTTTCGATATGCTAAATTAATGAAATAGTACTTCCTATCAGACTTCAACTGAAGATTGTTCATAGCGCCGTTACAGTAGTATCTGTCTGCCAGATATATGACTAATGTTTATGGATATACCTATAGAACATAAACTGTGAGAGGTACTTCGAATCAGTCATTCCAGTAGAACAGCTCGAAGCGTACCGAGCTACCAGTAAATAGACTTTTGTGCATCTACTTCAAACTGCATTCATCACCTTCAACTGTTGTGTGAACAGCACTTTCATGACTTCTGAAAATGTTCCAGCGTGTACTGCCTCTGTTAAATTTTGTGAAAGGCAATATCAAATTTCAGAGCCTCCATCCAGTCACGAAAGAGATCGCATGCGAGTTGGGAGCTTTGCAATGCCAGATCGAATACGGCGACTTCCCAGAAAACAAACCAAAATTTTACATCGAGTGAGTTCCCCAATGTGTATTTGTTATCTAGCTTTAATGTAATCGGCGATTATTCATTTAATTTATCTATTCCTTCTGTCAATACCTTAAATGCGTCATCTGGCTTCGGCAGATGCTCCATCGTCGTCGGGGACTATCTTGGTCGTTGATCGGGAGGGGGATTATTTAGGGGTTGAGAGGGTGATGGGTAAGGCTGTAAGATGAAAGGACGCCGTCAAAATGAATTATATCAATTTGTGCTGTTGGCAGACGATCCTCTGGATATTTTGCTTTTCAAGAAGATCGGATACCTTTTTTAATCTGTTAATTTGTTATTCTTCGTTCCTAGAGGATATAAATCCTGGGTTCAGTTTACAGTTTGTTCCCGTGAAGTAAAAATAGGCGCAGGATAAGTAAAAGCCTTCGATCTCTCAGAAAAATAAGCCACTGGAAAATCGAAACATCCAAGAAGAAATCCCAGAGAGGCTCGACCTTCACTTAGGAAGTTTTGAAAACGAGATGGCGCTCGATTCATCACATCAATTCTGTCTGGTTTGGGAAAAAAATCATCCCTCTCGGTTCCAGCTGGTCCCCTTTTCTGCTGTATCTTTCTCTTCTGTGTCCCTTCTCTCTTCTAACACTTCCCGTACAGTCGTCCTTCTTCGAACCAAAGATCCTATGGCCTACAAGATGAATAACCTGATTTTTTAAAAAATACTTCTTGGTTCCCGTCTTGACGCCTCCTCCCAAGTGGTGTGGTGCATTCAAAGGTTCCG